CTTGCTTTTCTTTGTTGGTCATAGAAAGCGAGGAGCATCACTTTGATTGAAGTTGAGTTATTCTCCAGGCCTAAGATGACTGAAATGCTGGGAGGTTACTTCTCTTGGTATGCAATTAGTTGAATAAATATCAAGAGTAAAAAGTAAACAAACTCATTACTGACCATTAAGATCTGCCAAACTAGCAAAAAACTGTAGGGGGAAGGGGAGGAACTGGGGTTGGAATCGTTAAGGAAAATAAATGGCTTTAAGGCCAAGCACAGCACAAAAAGCGCGACCCTTGGTGTCAGGCAGATGTGAGTTCTACATTTGATCAGCTTTGGCTCTTATCTGCTCTGTGTTCCTGGGCAAGTCACTGAGCCTGTCTGAGTTTCACTGTCTCCATTGATAAAATGAGGGAAAAACAACCCCTTGGATTACCTGGAACTATGTATGTCAGGTTCGTAGCACAGTGCTCTGTTCCTTCTCTCCCTTCCTGTAATCCAATCAGTTCCAAGTTACACCACTAAGCCCAAACCCAGGAGATGCAACAGTAAGACTCAGAATCAATTAAGACCCAAGAATACAGTTTCAAGGTTCCCACTGATAACAACATGACCTCAAGCCAGTCACCCCACAGCTTTTTGTGCTTCAATTCTTCACCCTCAAAACAGACAATACTAATTAGTCTAAATGCTGGAAGGATTAAATGAGATAATGAGTATGTGAAACCCTGCGTTAAGTGTTAGTCAAGGAAATAGTACAATTGCTTGACAACCTGCCTGGCCCATACTAAGTGGTCCTTACTATTAGTTTGTACTGCTACAGTTTTTTTTTTTTCTTGTTTTCGTATTGCTATCATATTATTCCAACCTCTAGTTTCTGAAACACTCCCGTGTTTCTTACCTAGTATACAAGGTGGGCTGGATCACTCCATCTCAAAGAAGAGGCTTAAATTTTGGTATCTCAAGTCCAATGGCAAGAGCTTTGCCTGGGGAGCCATGAGAACCCATGTTTGTGAGGGACAGAACCCAACAATAAACAGTACAGCCCTAGAGTCAGAGACGGGTTGCCTCCCTGGGCCTCTGGCAGCTCCTTGGCCATGGTGGAGGCCTGCGCCCACAAGGGCATAGAGGGGTGTTTGTCACCAGCTGCCCCAGGTGAGCAGCCTAAAGAAGGCAGTGGCCCAGCAGGCCTGCCCTAGCCTAGGGGTTGGGGGAAGTGGCTCCTCCCGATTGTTCTCCAGCGGGTGTGGCCACCAGCTCAGTAGCAGCCAAAGCATGACTGGAAACCAGGCAAACACTTCTAAACTCAGTCTGGTTTCCACTGACGTCACTGTAGCCCTACCTCCTGGCAGAACCCAGATCACAAGCTCCTGAACACCTTTCTCTGCCTGTCCAGAAAGGCCTGAGTGACCACTGGAACCACATTTTGGCTTTACCACATTTTGGCTCCCAGCATGGCCCTGGGGAGCACAAGAGCTGTTTTGTAACTGCCCACTGCCTGGCACAAGGTAGAGCCTGGACCAGGGTGTTCACTGGAGAAGTCCCCCAAGGGATCCAGGAAGGACAAGGCCTTTATTTTAACATATATTAATGTGAAATAACAAAGTGTGACCCTGATACTATTTTATGACTAAAAACCAGATTAAATACATTTCTGTGTAGAAATTAAGAGCTTGAAGGTTTGAGTCCATCAGACCATGGTTGAACCCTCATTCTGCCACCTTCAAGCTTTGTGATTTGGGGCAAGTCGTTTAGTCTCTCGGAATCTCAGTTTCCTAATCTGTAAAATGTAAATAACAACAGTATCTACTTAAAAGGACATTATGAAAACACAGGAAAGTAGAAAACATTTGCAAAATGTTTAGCACAGGTTCAGCACAGACACTCAGTAGATGAATAAGTACCCCCCCTTTGTGGTCGCACTCTGTGCAGCTCTGATCCCTCAGGCATTCACTTGTCCACAGGCTCCCCACTGCTCAACAACTATTGGTGGGTATATCTTTTCATTCCATCAACAAATATTTCTTTGGTATTGCAGACCATGTGCTTGGCACTGCAAATGGAGTAGTGACCAAAGCAGAAATGGCCTAGGTCCTCATGGAGCTCACATTCAAGGGAATGGGTAGGGAGACTGTATGTCTGATGATGATAAGGACTTGGAGTGAGAAGGGGGTGAGGTCACAATCTTTTTTTTTTTTTTTTTTTGAATTGGAGTCTCACTCCGTCATTCAGGCTGGAGTGCAGTGGCACGCTCACAGCCACCTCAGTGTCGACCTGCTGGGCCCCGGGGATCCTTCCGCCTCAGCCTTCCAAGTAGCCGGAACTACAAGCACGTGCTACCATGCCCAGTTAGTTTTTTTGATTTATTGGAGAGATGAGGTCTCACCATATTGCCCAGGCTAGTCTCGAACCTGTGGGCTCAGACAATCCTCTTGCCTCAGCTTCCCAAAGTGCTGGGATTATAGGCTAAAGCCACCATGCCAGGTCAAGGTCACAATCTTAAATAAGCAGGAGGGTCTCACTGAGAAGGTGATATTTCAGCACAGACCTCAAAGAGGGAATCAGCAACAAAGAAAAGGGCAAGAGTATCTGGACAGGATCAGCAAGGGCAAAGGCCCTGAGTCCTAAGTGTGCTTGGAAAGCTTGAGGAAAACCTAGGAGGCCAGTGCACCTGGAGTGGGGTGACAGGGGCAGAGGAGTCAGAGATGAGGTCTGGGAGGGAGTGGGGGCCAGATCATTAAGGGCTTTAGAGACCCATTAGCTTTTCCTTCAAAAAGGGGAGCCACTAGAGGGTCTTGAGAAGAAGAGTGACCCAATTAGACTTTTTAAAAAGGATCACTCTGGCTGCCAAGTTGAGAACAGACTGTAGAGCAGGAAGACCAGGGGCAGGGAGATTAGTTAGGAGACTACTGCACCAGTCCAAGTGAAAAGCACAGGTAGGTTGCACCGGGGTGGTAGCAGGAGAGGTGGAGAGACACAGTAGGATTCTGAGAATATTTCTAGAATACTGCTATTACAATTCACAGTGAATTAGATGTAGGGAATTAAAGAAAGGAGTCTAGGGTGACTTCAAGGTTTTTGATCTAATCAATTAAAAAGCAAGTTGCCATTTACTAACACAGGAAAAATTGGGATGAACAAGTTGGGATGGAGGTATGGGGAAAAACAGGAATTTGTTTCTGGATAAGGTGAAATACACAGTAGACAGTCAAGTGAAAATGTCAAAGAGGCAGATGAATATATGAGTCTGGAGTCCAGGAGAGAGGTCCAGGCTGGAGAAATAAATGGGAGTGTGAGGAGTACTTGATGGTAATCAAAGACTGGACAAGATCACTAAGTTAAGACAGAGTCTGAGGCCTGAGTTCTGGGGCCCCAACAGTATGAGAACAGGAATATGAGGATGAACCACTAAGGGAGGATAAGGAGGAGTAGACAGCAAGACAAGAGGAAAGGATGATGTTTTAGAAAGGAAGTTCAAGAAAGGAGCCATCAACTATGTCCCACAGCATTGAGAGGCAAAATATTAATGAGGAACAAGAACCGGCCCTTCCATCTTACAAAAGGAGGCCACTGGTGATCTTATCTAGAGCATCTGGAATGGAGGGAAGGAGGCAAAGCCTGAGAGGGGTGGGCTCAAGAGAGAACAGGAAGAGAGAAACTTCTGGAAAGCGTTGGTATAGGCAACTCTTTGGAGGGCTGTGCTAACAAGAGGAGCAGATAAATGGAACAGTAGCTGGAGAGGAGATGTGAGGTCAAGAGAGGATTTTTTTTTTTTAGTTGAGAGAAATAACAGCATGATTGTAAGAAAAACATGATGATGCAGGAGAGATTGGGAAGACTGCTGGAGCAAGGTCCTCAAGCGGGCGAGAGGAGAGAACTAGCACATGGCCTTCCCTCCCTCTTGGCCCGCTTAACTCCTACTCATCCCTCAAAGGTCAGTGCAGGGTCACTTTCTCAGGGAAGTGTTCCTGACCCCTCTGATTAGGTCAGTTCCCTGTAATGCCCTTTCAGAACATGTGATACTTTTGCTTCACAGCACTTGGGAATGCTATAATAATGTAGAAGCCCTGTGAGGGCAGGGGCTGGCTCCATCCTGTTAGTAACTATATGCCCAGCAGCTAGCACACTGCCTGGCACATCATAGATGTTCAGTAGACATTTGGTAAAGGGATGAATGGTCTACAAATAGAAGTGAAACAAATCCGGGGGCACATGCCTGTGTTCTGCACCCTTCTGACTTAATCACATTACAATGATTGGGGCCATGCAATCACTGGCTACTGCAAATATTTGGATTTAGAAGAGCCCAGTTGTTTGTTCCTGTTTGGGCTCTGTAGCTTAGCCAACACATAGACCAGAGCCACATGACCAGACACACCCTTCCATTGACATTGTCCACTAAAAACTGAACAAATTCTATACCATGTCTACCAATTCATTCATTTAACAAATATTTGTCAAAAGTGCAACACCCTGGGATACAGTGTTGAATCAGACACAGAACCTGCCCTTGTGGAGCTTAGAGTCCAGCAGAGGAGATCAAACAGAATCATGATTCAGCACAACTGGGACAGGAATTACAAGGGGTATGTTCAGGCAATATGAGAATGTAGAATGGGGAGACTGAACAGCCTGAAGACTCTGAGGCAGAGGAGAAGGGGGGTCTGACGACCCTCCCTCTGCCTCCCCTCCCCACCTGGATGTGGTTCTCAGGCTATAGGCCAAGGGCTCAGCAAGACGGCTGTGGACACTGGAGCTGGCACCGGGAGTGGCAAGGCCAAGGCCTCCTGCCTTCAGGTGCCCTGGGCCCTCCCTCTTCCTTCTCTCTCTGCTGGGGCCTGCTTGCCTCCTGCTGCTTCCAGAACAGCTGCCCTCCTCTGATTCTAGGAAAGTAGAAGGCAGCCTCCTGGAGCTGTTTTGGGAAGCTCTGCCTGGCAAGAAGGCTGGGGTCACTGATGGCATGGGACACTGGCAGTGGTGGGATCCTTGCTGATTCTCTCTTCTGTTTATTTTCAGAGCTTCATAGATTCTATTCACAAAGAATAATCACCATTTTGCAAGGACCATGAGGCCACTGTGTGTGACGTGCTGGTGGCTAGGACTCCTGGCCACCATGGGAGCTGCTGCAGGTCAGGAGGATGGCTTTGAGGGCACTGAGGAGGGCTCACCAAAAGAGTTCATTTACCTAAACAGGTACAAGCGGGCGGGTGAGTCCCAGGACAAGTGCACCTACACCTTCATCGTGCCCCAGCAGCGAGTCACAGGCGCCATCTGTGTCAACTCCAAGGAGCCTGAGGTGCTCCTGGAGAACCGAGTGCACAAGCAAGAGCTGGAGCTGCTCAACAATGAGCTGCTCAAGCAGAAGCGGCAGATTGAGACGCTGCAGCAGCTAGTGGAGGTGGACGGTGGCATCGTGAGTGAGGTGAAGCTACTGCGCAAGGAGAGCCGCAACATGAACTCACGTGTCACACAGCTCTACATGCAGCTCCTGCATGAGATCATCCGTAAGCGTGACAACGCGCTGGAGCTCTCCCAGCTGGAGAACAGGATCCTCAACCAGACAGCCGACATGCTGCAGCTGGCCAGCAAGTACAAGGACCTGGAGCATAAGTACCAGCACCTGGCCACACTGGCCCACAACCAATCGGAGATCATTGCACAGCTTGAGGAACACTGCCAAAGGGTGCCCGCAGCCAGGCCCGTCCCTCAGCCACCCCCTGCCACCCCACCCCGGGTCTACCAGCCACCCACCTACAACCGCATCATCAACCAGATCTCCACCAACGAGATTCAGAGTGACCAGAACCTGAAGGTGCTGCCACCCCCTCTGCCCACAATGCCTACCCTCACGAGCCTCCCATCTTCCACAGACAAGCCGTCAGGTAAGTCCTTCTGGGATCCCATCCCATGTGGGCCTGCCTCAGAGCCAGGTGCCAGGCTTCCCTTGGCTGTGACCACAAGTGGGGGAAAAGCCACAGCCAGTTGAGCCAAGCCACAGACATGCACAATCCCCTAGCAATCCCTTGGGCTGAGTGTCTAGAGCCAGGTGGGGTGGGATGGGGTGGGGTGGGGAGCACCACATTCCTTAGATGTATGCTCTAAGGTAGAACCAGGAAATGGAGTTTCATAAGAGAGCAAACGTTCTCTGGTTTTGCTCTCTCGTTTCTGACAGAAAAGAGCCCAAGGCCTGTGGTTTTCCAGACTCTGCACGATATACTCTGTGTTGGCAGACAGGATGCTTCTCCTGCAGCTCATGTACTGTGGCTAGCATAGAGCTGGCATTCTGTAAATACCCACCAAATAAACAACAGGCCAAAAGAAAAGAAAGTATTATCACATTAGGAGTATGATAAACCCGTCATAAGGTCTGGGGGATGGGAAAGCAATCCTTTCTGAAGCCCACACATTTCCTAGAGTCTGGCGCTATCTAGAATTTTCCATGATGATTCCATATGCTCTTATATACATGTTTCATCTTAAAATATGGTAGTTCTCAGAATACCATTATGAGGGAGGAATGGGGTTGCTGGCAAATTTTTCAGCCTAACCAAGACACTGGCCATGGGCATTTCCATGTATATTACATAATTAACCACTACAGCTCTTCTGGGACAGGATAAGTAACTTGCTCATAGGCTTAGGGTCCTCAGGATAGATTTGAATTGAGCCCTTTTCACTTTAAATCTCTGGCTGTCTCTGTGCTCCAGGAATTCTTACTTCAGGGGGGAGCAGGCCAGAGACTCCCTTGTCAGAATGCCCACACAAGCCTAGCCCCCTGAAGCTCAGTCTCTCGTTCAAGCAGGATGCTTTGGCCTTCCCAATGGGATGCCATATGAGAATGAGACTCATCTTTGTAAAACTAACCATTTATCTGCTCCAAGTCAGTGCTTTTGGTACCACTTCATTGCATAAGTATCCTGTTTTACACATATTTCACACTTTAAAAAATAACCACCAGTACTGTGAAGAGCAGCTTCTTGCTAATTTCAGAGAAGGGCCCAACCTGAGTGCAAGAGAGTGGCTAGTGCAAAGGACAAGGGCAGCATTGTTTTCAGGTTGCGGGTGGGGACTGCAAGACAGAGCATCTGCTATGGCACCTTGACAGGAAGACCTAGCCTGGGGGTAGGGACTGAGAGCAAGTGCTTTGGAGCAGACTGACCTGGACTTAAATCCTGGCTCTCCACTGATTAGCTCTGGGACATTAGGAAAGTCATTTTGTCCTTCCGAATCTCAGCTTCCTCATTTGTCAATTGGGGATAGATTAAAATAGTGCCTATCCTCAACTGACATGTCTGTGAAATGAAATACTGGGGTAAAAAATGTGTTTGGCTCAGTTCTTGGCCCATTGTAAACTTGAGTCTCCTTTGAGTTTGGTCTCTTCATCTTAAAACAAGTAGATTGAAATAAACAAACAATCCCTTTTTAGCTCTGGTGTTCCATCTGTACATATGTCTGTTTTAAATCAGAAGCTCTGAAAGAGAGGGCAGGTTGTGTTAATACATCTTGACAGAATACTCACAGTTCAGGTGAAACCTATCCTTGGGCACCAAATGAATGTTGTTATAATCCTGACGTGAGTGAGGCGGGTCTCATTGGTTACCCAACAGATTTCCTCTCTCCTAAGCATCTCTGCTTTCTAACTAACAATTTCAGGACATTCCTGTGCTTAAACTAAGCTGGTAGATATATAGTATAGGAATAAAGACCTGAGTTTGCACCTAGGCTCTAGCACTTGTTAGCTGTTTGCACATGAGGATGTTATTTAACTCCTCTGAACCTCAATTTTCTCCTCCGTAAAATGAGAACAAGAGTCATAACCTCACAGGGTTATGTTGTGGAAACTCAATACAGTAAGCATGTAATATTATGTATAGTGGTGCAGCCAACATTGGCTGAGCCCCTACTTCATGCTGGTCACAGCACTAGACTTGGGAAAGCAGGTGACAACTATGGTCCATGATTTCTAGGAACTCAGTCTGGGGGAGGTGGCAGGTGCATTAATGCACCGGAACACATTCAATGCCCATCAATTCTAGCCCCTAAAATTAGCACATCAGGTCTGACAAAGGATTTCTCTGGGTAGGAGCACCTGCTGAGGTCAAAATTTCCAGAACATTGTGAGAATTTATGGAGCCAACATACAAAGTACCTAAAATCAGGAATGTAGTGAAAACTGGACTGTCTGGTCACTGGGGTGACACCCTGGTGTGTTATGTGCCCCACAGAAAGGCATATTAGGGACTGAGGGACACTAAGGTGGCAAGACTGATTTTTCTTGGAGAGAAAGGAGAGGCTGAACAGAGGTGGCACTTCTTTATTACACCTGAAAGATTTGTAAGCATTTATCTGGCAGACCTGGGAGTTGGGAAACCAAGTTATTAGTGAGTCCTTGAAGGAGATGAGTTTGTGCAAAGGCCCAGGGGTGTGGCCTTACTCCTGGCACCTCAAATGGTCCTTCCCCTCCTCCTTTGTGTTCACAATCCAGTGTGGGCTGTGCATATCCAAGGGTCATGCACCCACTGCCCTTTGTCTCCCACTTAAGAAAGCAGGCTAGCACAGAGGGAATGGTAGTGATTTCATTACAGAGATAACCTGAATCACTGTAATTTGTCCTTTTTTTAAGTCTTCCCAAATATTTGGTGCTCAGTCCTTAGTAGCAGAATTCTTATGACCCATCTCACCACTGAGGTCCTACACAAGACTGAGCACCCAATTGTGGAAGCTGAAAGGGCAAACAGAACCCAGGCTGGGGGAGGGTCTTGCCCTTCCTTGTCTGCTATGGGACTAGATTAGGAGGAAAAAGCAGATGATCGCTCCCTACCAAGCAGCTGGCCCAGCCAATAAGCAGAGAATACTCTTATCAGTCCTGTTCTGAGAGCATGGGGGCAGGTTCTGGTCCTGGAAGACAAAACCCTCTTCTGTGCTCTCACCCAACAGTTCCTTTGTTCCCAGGGACATCACTCAGCCAGAAGCACCTTTGCAATTAAATTCCTCTGCACCTAAGTGTTGGCAGCTTCTAAATCTTTCAGTCAGCACCCTCAGAGCCATGCACTCTTTGCCTCTTTGTCTGGGCCACGGCTGCTTATCTGAAGCTGTACTCACTAGCTTATTCCCAGTCACAGCGAGACAGTAACAGGCTGGCCTGCTGAGAGCCTCAGTGAGAAGGCACAGGCAGCTACTAGCCTCCCTGGCTTCTCACTTGGGCTTTGTCCTGTTTCTCTCAGGTCTGGCCAGACTGGGGCATTTTGATTAGGATGATGTTATGGCAAGACCTGGGCCAAATGACATTATTCCCTAAGAGGCAAAGGACAGAACAAGCACCTGGGCTCTGAGAGGCCCGAGACACTGTTTTTCAGCCTGCCCCCAGCACAGCCACACAGCGTCCATGCCAAAGACTGACAAGGAAGAAAAAACAGTGCCACTACCAGCTGCCACAGCCAGGCTTTGTTGGAAACAAATCTGTAAAGACCAAAAGGAGTGGGTGTTTCTAGCCGTTTTCTCTCCTGAGAAAGAGAAACACAACCATTCAGTGTATTTCTTAGTGAATGAGGAAGGGGCCATAAAATCATAAAATATTAGAACAGGCCAGCCTGTTACTGTCTCAGATCTCTAACATGGACTTTCTGTCACAGAATCTGTTGGTGGCAGAGCTGAGATGGGTCCCTGAACTTGTAACTTCCAGGATATTGAGGTCCAGAGAGGTCAAGTAACTTAGCCAAGATTATACAGCTAGTAAGTGACTCAGTCAAAGCGCAAACCCAAGTCTGTATTAACTATTTAGGGATACTGCACATTTCCATGGGAAGGCTGGAGAAGAACTGGTGTGAAAATCACCAGTTTGCTAGACTTGGTCCCAGGTGCCAGGGACCCGACCTTCCTTCACTACTTCCTAGTACCAGCTTCTAAGAAGCTCCTTAGAAAGAGTTCTGGGAGCCGGGCTTGGTGGCTCAGCCTGTAATCCCATGCTTTGGGAGACCGAAGTGAGTGGACTGCCTGAGCTTGTGGGTTCGAGACCCATCTGGGCAACTTGGCGAGACCTCATCTCTACAATAAATTAAAAAATTAGCCGGGCATGGTAGCGCATGCCTGTAGTTCCAGCTAATTGGAAGGCTGGAATAGTGGTTTGTGTTATTAGAGCTATAATTAGAGGCAGAAGGATCACCGGAGCCCAGCAGGTCAAGGCTGCGGTGGCTGGGAGCGTGCCACTGCACTCCAGTCTGGGCGACAGAGTGAGACTCCAACTCAAAAAAAAAAAAAAAGAGCAAGCTCTGGGAATATAGGTGGTAGACCTGTTATAGCTCTAATAACACAAACCACTATTATTACGAACCTCACCAATATCACACTACTCCTCCCCAGGCATAGTAGAAATCAGCTGAGCTCTCCAATAGAAAGCACAATGTGCACTTGACTTCCAGCAAATGAACCCAACTAACGCTACAGACAAGTCTAATTTTTAATTTTTATCAAACCTGGTCACATTTTCTGGGGTTACTTCCACTCAACATTTCAATGTACAGCTAAGTCTTTCAATGTATAGCTAAATATGAAGTCCTGATTTCTTTAAATGTTAGTTCTGAATGTATAAATGTCAGTAGACATGACCTCCTCTTGGGACCACATCAAGAAGCCCTCACATTGCTTCACTGACATCACAGTGCACACATGGGAGCCACTCTGTCTCAAAACAGATGGGCTATGACCAGGAATACATGGACAACTTGAACAAGAGTGTTTTCCTAGATGGATTTTCCCCTCTCTTTTATTTCATCTATAAGGAAGGAAATATGTCCCCAGCACAAGGGTATGTTTTATCACAGAAAATGAAATATGACACTGTGGCTTCCATTCTTTCTGGAAGTCAGGAAAGCATCCATCCAGG